AGAAGTAAATATTCAAAGTGACAATAACATCTATCAGTTTCAGTGGTATAATGCTTACTGTAACATTAGGTGATTCACTATTACTGGGATTACGGCGCAAGTTAAGTGCAGATCGGCGTTTTCTGATAATGGGTGAAGCAGTGTGTGATGTACTTGCCGATGTTGGTTGGAGACTATCATCATCATCATCATCATCATCATCATCATCATCATCATCATCATCATCATCATCATCAGCACCTTTTCGTGATCTCTTTCTCTGGTGTTTCATTCCAATTGACTCCATCATTTTTTTAGCTGCATCTTTCAACTTTTCCTGTGTGCTTGTTACTAGCTTCTCCATTCTCACTAGATTAGTAGGGCACTTGCGACACATTCTACCAATGCAGCAGCCACTGTCATCAAGTAGAACATCATCAATGCTGCAATCTATATTTGCTTCCTGAAAGTGTTGAGCCAGTAGTTTCTTCCAGATAGGTAAGGCCTTCTCACAAGCAGGGCCATACATATTATATCTGTTTGTAGCTACAGTGACATCTTCTCCACAAGCGAAACAGTATACAGCAGCAGCATGCTCCACGGCGCCGGCCATTATTTTACAGCTAGCTCCACCCTTGTTAAAGCGGGGCATAATTAACTAGCATGCTGATCGCTTTTGAGCCCCACCCAAGCCATACAAGTGTAAGCCAACTTTGGTATACGTATTTATCCTGACCCTCCGCCTTCCGCAAGGGTCAGGCCCACCTGACTAATGATAAATAGGTATGCTGTACCCATAGACGCCATACACACCATACCACCACCTGCTCTCTTCATTACAGCATCACTGGTTGGTATTATATTACTCCATTCATATGTTACATTGTTGAATGAGTTGACATCATTATGATAGCAAAGACTATCTCCACACTGACCACCAAAAAAGATGTCATTGTTTCTGACTGTACAGAAGTATGTAATAGCTCCTAGAGGAGGTGACGTTCCTCTGGTCACGTGAGAGGACCAACGACCAGTCCTAAACTCGAGTCTATCAATGGTGGACAACAATTTCCTCTTTTGTGGGCAATCATGAACTCTAGGTAAGTCAGGCCTATACTCCCTCCCCACAGGAACACTGACTCTCCTACTACAGGAGCTAAGTGTCCTGCTATCCCTCCCAGTTGATAGATACCTGTAAAATACAAACACAATCAGAAAGAGGAAAGAGAAAACAGAGACTGACCTATAGACATTATTTGTGAAGAATGTTAATTAGAATCTAACCAGCCACACCCATAATTATTACTCATATAATGACCCACACCCATATCACCTTGTAAACACTGCCAGCATTATAACAAAAAGTACAGTAATTATTAGTTGGTTGTATGTCAAGGAACACATCAGGTTAAAACATATCTTTTTTGCTTGCTGATGAGGTGATGGTCCTGCTATTGAATGTATTGGAAGTGCTGAATCCAATTAATAATAATTGGTATATACATGTAGTTGGTACTCTCTTGGTGATTATGATAAAAGGTACTTGAACTAGTACCTGCAAGAAATGTACTAACAAACTAACCCTCAGGTATAATAGTTATACAAGATAATACAATCAAAAGAATTCAAGTTTTATTATTATTATTATTATTATTATTATTATTATTATTATTAATGTTAATGCATTATAGCAAACATGACAAACAATTGTGACCATAATTGACAAAAGGTACCTTATGGCGGATTTTTAAATTCATCATTATAATCGAAAATATCAACCTGTGAGTGCTCTGTTAGTCAACCATTGTTTCTAAAAGTTACATAGTAACTTTTTGAATCCTGTGGAGTAATTTTATGATAAATGGAGCTCAGAAAGTTGCATTTTTAAGGCTATATAGACCAATTTTCCTATCCGACAAAGGTACCTTTTGTCAATTATAGTCACAATTTCTTAACTGGAATTATTAAAAATTTTATATTACATCAGAGTTTTGTAGTCAGTACTTGTAACAAAGAGAATAAACTCAAGTGTAGATTGCATTATTCATTACAAGTCCAATATCACCTACTGGAGATAACAATAAATAAAAATAATGAGAATTGCTTTTTATACTATAGATAGTAAAGTCATTAAACTATAGCTCATAGTATAACTTCATGTATACACTGTAGCCTTCTTGTCTCCAGATCCAGTAACAATAAAACGATCATCAACTGATATGTCACAGCTTAAAACACTACTACTTTCGGACATCTGTATGTATAGGATACAATCATTATTTCAATGTACATTAGAGTAACTCGGGGCTATTCTGACCCGTTCCTGCACTATGATCTAATTAAATATTCACGAAGTCATAACTCACTCTTTTTTGCTTTATTTCATTAATTTTATTCATCACTGAATGAGTTCTATTTTGTCTCTTCTATTTATACTTTCTTGAAATCAGCAAAATCTAGTTGTTGGGGCTATTCTGACCCCACCGGGGCTATTCCGACCCTCTGGATACTAACTAGTATACGGAAAAATTATGCAGTGACCGGAGATATACAAGCACAATCACTAGGTGATAATTTGTGAAAAACCTAATGAACACAAATTTTTAGCCAGAGTTGCTTAGCTGCACTTTATAAAGATCAAGCTGTTCTTTGTTGTTGGTAGTTAGAAAATTCTATGCTGAATAGATACATCCTTGTTTCAGTCCTGTATCTGCTATAGTTAAGAAGTTACAACTTACAACTGGAGAAAGAGGAGGTCTGGTCTCAAATGCGGACTGGACGGACCGCCCGGACCAAAAATTTTGTAGAATAAAACAAGCGTAAAGGCGGATTTACAATATGACATTAGGCCAGCGTACCGTCAATTTTTAATCAAAAGCGTGGGCGATTTGACCTTTGACGCATGCTTTCCGCTGGAATAGAACCAGATTCTATTCCAGCGTCAACGTAACGTCAGGACTAGCGTAATATTGTAAATCCGCCTTAACAGGGTAAAAAGTATTCCTATAATTGATTTCACCACCTTGCAAGTACAACTTGGTCATTATTAAGACTTATAGAGGTTCTCTCTACCTTATAATGCTTCTAGAAAAGTTTTTAGATAGTATCTCTATGTTCTCTTGCTGTTAGAAAGCTCTTAACTTTGTCCCATGTGTAAGCCGCCATTTTGTTTGCCGTGACCACACCCACTCACGTAAAGGAGCGTGGGCGGGTGGTTGCTAAGGCTTGTTATTTCTCCAATACAACATGTATAGAAGAAATGTAAGTGTGGACATACAAATATTATATATACAAATATATGGTATATAGATAGCGCGACGGTGAATTCAATTATAGGAACGACCTGGAGGCTTCACCCCCAGGTCGTTAAAAATTTGGCAGACCTCAGCAGACCCGCGATTGACTGCATAAGGGTAGGAGTGTATATGCGCAATATACTACTACCTGGCGGTACCTTTGATCTTACAGTAACTATAGTACCGTACAAAAGGAAATTTTGGAGGGACAAAATTTTGGCGAATTGCTAAATTTTGGATGATTGGCGAATTTGTGGCCATGTGCTAATGAGCATGCGCATAATGGCTCAAAATGGCGAGTTTTTATTTTGGCGAATGGCTATCAAAACGCCAAATTCACTAAATTTAACTACCTCCAAAATTTCCTTCCATACGGTACTCCATTCCAATTAAAAAATTGTAAAGTCATGAATTTTCAAGTTAGTTCATACATAGATTTCCCATTTACAGTACAAATTCATGCCTTATCAAGTGAATTTTATTCACATGATTTATGTTGCTTTGGCCAGGGTATATCACTATTTCTTATATACAAACATCTCAATTTATTACTTAAATTTAATAAAGGTTTTACAATTATACAACCACTAGACAGCATATAGTACAAATAAAAGTGGGAAATACAATGAGAATAAATCAATAAACAAAAATGCTGAATGAGTAACAATAGAGTCCAATTAAACTGTAAACAACAACAACAATAAATAATAAACAATGCATGTACTTGGTCCAGAGTATTGAGTTAGCTAGTGCCATCAGGTTGTAAAGTTTATAAGTAGCTTAAGGATCTCTTAGGGCAACATTACTAACAGCAGGAAATTTTAGAGGGAATTAAATTTGGCAAATTTGGCATTTTAATAGCCATTCACCAAAATAAAATCCACCATTTTGAGCCATTATACCCATGCTCAATGGCATGGGGCCACAAATTCACCAAATTAAAATTCACCAATCACCAAAATTTAGTAATTCACCAAATTTTAGTCCCTCCAAAATTTCCAACTATACGGTACGTATACTGCACATGTACATGTACAACTCCATAATCTATTGATAATAACAATTATTCAATTAATAATGTATTAATATACATGTACCGTGTGTACATACTTTAGCCAGGTTGGTTTCCAGGTTTATTATTTGATCTGCTACTTGTTCAAATCCACTACCAGCAGCAGCAGCAGCTGCCTCAGCCCCTCCATTAGTATTATTAATCAATGACAGTATCAACACTATAAACTGCTTCAATGTTGGAATAGTTTACATGTATATATTAATATAATTATTATTAAAAGGGCACACCCAGTCCATTACTTACAATCTTACCACATTAACGGCACTGGGATCAGTACAGGAATCAGGACTGGTAGCGTCAGTCCAGACTGGGACAACTGTCAATTAATTATTAATAGTGACCACACCCACTTATTAGTCCCATTCCCTACCACTGGTATGTATTGTGATGAGTTCTTGTCATTTACTGAAATACCAAAAGAGAAGAACCTGTCATTATCATATGACATTGAGGACCTGAAATCAGCTGGGGGGGGGCAGAGCCTAACAATAATAATAACAACAACAACAACAATAATAATAATAATAATAATAATAATAATAATACTGATATACATGTAAGTAGTGTATACCTGTAATGCTGGCCCACTTCATGACAAAGAGCTATTGTCTATTGTGTGGATAATAATAACTTAAAATAATATCATTACTGCAGTAATGTAACAGTACATTAGAGCCAATGGCAATATTAATAATAAACATATAACAAGAAATGGACAGTGTAGAGTAACAATAGGCAGTATACATGTAGTAGTGTGTGCTGGACAATGAAATATTAATGATAAGAATTATTACTATAAAATTGACGGCCAAGAAATGTAGTTAGCTTGAAAATGAAATGATACAGTACAACAGTACAAGCAATATGAAGAATACAATTTGAATTAAATAGGAGGAGCTCACAAAAGAGGAGAGGAGTGTGAACATTAGCGATGAGGTAAGGAGCATGAGGTTACCAAACTGGAAATTATAATTAATTAATAATACAACCTATTAATAATAAAAATAATAATAATAATAATAATAATAATAATAATAATATTGTAATTATTATACCATCAGTATTAGAAGAATTTTACTTTTGGGAATTAACCCTAAACTGTATACCCACATGATGGACAGCACCTGCAATTAATTAATTACTGAATTGAATACCATTTCAGTCCTCAACGACAGATCTCTTTCCAGATGAGACAACGCTGAGAAGTAACCATCATTTTCAAACAATAAACTTCAATGCTGACTAAAAATAATTAATAGGATAATACTGCTGTCACGGTAACACAAACATATCAAACTAGTTAATAATTGATTATTTTAATTATTGAATCACAATTTTTATTATTTACCTGCTGCTATTATAATTAATTTATTATTATTGATAGTTTGAGCTCCTTTCTCTTTCTCTTTTGCTGTTTCTCCTCTAATAATGTTCTTCTTCTGTAGATCCAAATTTTAACCCTTTAACACAAAAAAGAATAAAAGTTACCGTATTA